CTTTTTATCAAATCCTGTAGTGACAGGGGTAATGGTTTTAAAATTAAAGAGGGTAGGTTTAGAGTGGACATAAGGAAAAAATTAACTGTGAGGGTGGTGAGACACTGGAACAGGTTATCCAGAGAAGCTGTAGATGCCTCATCCCTGGAAGTGCTCCAGGTCAGGCTGGATGGGGCTCTGAACAACCTGGTCTAGTGAAAGGGGAGAGTTGGAACCAGATGGTATGTAAGGTCCTTTCCATTCCATTCTACATTACTAAGTCATATACTGTAAAGATGTTCAGGAACAACTACCAAAACCCTCAGTGATCCCTGTTCCAGCTCCCTGGTGGCAACACAGATGCACTTCCAGGGCACTACGCACATTTAACCTGGTGCTGCTGCCCCATTTTCAAACACCAGCTAGTGGGATCCTCTGGTGTTCGGGAAGTTCCTTCTCTCACTGATCACAAAGGCACATGGAAAGGAATAGAAACTCCAAACTCACCTCTCCCTAGAAATCTCTTACATCTTAAGTGGATTGCTGTAAGTTGTGACATCTACATCACTCAGGACCCCTCAACTGTTAAACTAGGTTAACATTTCAGCTGCATTTCAAACAGAGTTGATTCCTTTTAGGAATAAGCTTTGGAGGTGGAACTCTCACTACTGAGTCACTGTTACACAGGATAAATACAATGAAGCAGTACAGTCAATTCCTTTATTTTTGCTGTAGCTGTAAAAGGGGAGAAATCTTTAGGCCTTTATTAAAAAAGAGTAGTTTAGGAAACACTGAATGGATTGTGCTGAACATTCATCTAACTTTTTTAACAGTGACACCATCTGGGAGGTGTATCCGTTTGGCAATCACTCTCCAGACAGACCTAAGGAGAGGTGATACCCACAGTGACCACTGAAGGGTGAAATTGTGCATGCTGAGAACAGCCATAACCTTAATTAAATGCTCAGACTTTCATCTGGATCACCCTAATATGAAGAAAGCCAGAGTCCAGCACACAAACAGCTCCCATAGTAGCCAAATTTATCCAACAAAGTCTTGGCAATTTATAGTAGGACTGGGGAAAATTCCAGCCCAGGGTCATAGCAGGCTCCATTTGGGCAAGGCTCCTGCAAGTTCGAGATGATGGATAGCACAGAAACTTGATGCACAAGGTATAAACACTGTGGGGCATCCTTTCCAAATACTGCCTGCTGGAGAATTTTGTGGGATCTCACTGGTCCTTGCCTGGCAGTGAGGTTCACTGGGATGTCTGGGCAGGAAGGAGGCAGTACTAGTGTAGCACGCTGATTAAGGGATATGTATAATTAAGGGTTGTAAAGTCAAACACTCAGAGAAGCCAGAGCCAGTTTGCTCTGTAAACCCTGCAGTGCCCCAGTGCCAGCTCCTCAGCCGTAAAATCCCCCAAGCATACACCAGGAAACAAAGTGTTAGAAAGTACTTGTGGGGATGTCCCTCATTCACATCTGAACTGTTTTTGAGCTGTGGTTTGGCCAGATGGGGTATGTGTGTTAAATCCTCCGAAAAAGATTCCCATTTCCGTGGGAAGATTTCTGCAACAAGTCTACTCTGTCTTCTGATGGGCTATGTGGAAAAGGATTAAAATGAAACCTCTGTAACTAATATGAACAAAATAATACAGTGTTCAAAGTAAAAAATATAGAGTGGGGCTTTTTTAACTTAAAATTGTGAGGGTTCATTTAAACTGAACTTCAGAAAGCCACAGAGATAAGAAATAAATCTCAGATCTACATGCATGCCTTTTCCAAGCCTTGCTGTTCTCCTAACCCATTTGTTCTGTGTCCAGTTCAACTTTGTACTGTTGCTGAGTGCGGGTGAACTTGCATGGCTGGATGGGCTGCTGCCCCCAGCCAGCAGCAAGGGGTGTGCAGTCAGCTGTGCTCCAGCAGAAGCTGGGTGCTGGGAGCCACTGAGGGACTGGTCTGCAGCAATCTTGTCAGAGAGATGCAAGAAAAAATAAACAGCAACTGGGACACGTTTCACTTGAGGTTTTTTTTAGCAAATCTTGGTGGCACATTTTAGAGCTGGAGAGGGTGTCACTGGTTTAATCAGGGTCTTAAGGTTTGGCTATGTCCTGGCTAATCATAGCACCTCATCACCTCACTGAACACAAAGCCGTATTCACACTGAAAAATCTGTGGGTTTTAGTGGGATTTAATCCCTGTAATGGATGAGAGCACTTTTGACTGATGCAGTTCCTCTAGGCCAGAGCTGAAATGACTGCAAGACCTGAAGCTGCCATGAAGCAATGTCTCTGAGTGATGCCTCAACACCCACTCACACATTCCCCCTGCCCCAATGCCATGCTGTGGGCAGTGGAGGCACCGGGGGAATCCTGGAATAACTTCAGGCCATTTCAGGCTGCTCCCTCTCTGCTGCTGCCAGATCTCCCCTCAGTATCTGCAAGCAGGAATTTTTTCCGCAGTAGGCAATCCCAGTAGAACAGGTGATGTAGAGAAGTGAGAGGAAAGGAAAGGTAACAAATCTGTCTAGCAGAAACAAAGCTGACATTTTTGAATTAATAGCAGAAAGTCTGGCCAAAGTTTTGAGTCTGGCTTTTGGAGTTTGAATCTTACAGGCAGCGAGTCATCTGGAACAATTTTTTTCTTTGTAATTTTTTCCCCTTAATATTCCTCGAAGTGCAGCTGAAGCTGGAAGAAGAACAACTGGACCATTCAGTCACACTACATGGAGCAAGTGTGCTGAGTCCCAGCAGCCAGTGCTGCCTCCTGGTCAGGAAGATCCCGTGGGCAGCACACAGTGTGTGCGGTGGCGCTGGGCCCTGCTGCCCCCGATGCCTCTGCTCTGCAGCTGGCATCAACACAGGCTGCCAATTCCTGCATAGCATGAGCAGGAAAAGGCCACAATTCTCTCCAGCTCCCCCACAGTCAGGTGAAGATGTGAAGAGGCACTGAAAGAGATATGTTTAAAATCCAGCAGCATAGATGGAGCTAACCTAAAATGCAAATTCCAAAAAAAACCAAAAACCAAACCCAAACTAAACCAACCCCCAAAAGCATGTGCATCAGTTCAGCAATGGCAGCAGTACAAAAAAGGCAGTTTGCCCTTAGGATGTCTGTTTCTGCTTTCTTTGTATGCCTTGTGTATTTGTCCTTTGAACTGTTGTGAACACCTGGACATAGCAGGATGCCAATATTAGATACCCAAATTATCAAGTACCATTAGAAGTCCTTTGTAAAGTTATAATTTTGTCAGTTGCTTGAATAGAGATTTCTTCAGAAGAGCTATAGTGATTTAGCATTTTATCTTCTACTCATTTTCATGACCTTACAGCTGCTGCTCATGAGTGCAATGTTTGGCACCTTGCTCTGGCTAACTACACACTTTCCAAATATCATTGAAAAGGCAGTTTCTGACCTATTGTAGTGGATTGGAATTCTGACTTTTTTGTTTGCTATTTTAAAATAATTTTCATCTCTAGCACATTATTTTTTTTTCCCCCATAAGTATGACCTGTCCAGTGACAGAGTGTGATAAATTCTACAGTTTATTTTCGAATGGCAAAATTGCTTCCAGCTTCCAACTGGACTTTTTCAGGAAAATTCATGTCTTCTTTTAGTATTCCCAGTTATCATACACTTTTAACTTAAAACTCTGACATCAAGGACTGTCTCTTACACAGGAAACTTTGTGCTCAGACTGGCAAAGCCGTGGAAATTTTGAGTAGACAATTGATCTTATTTAAGAAACAGAGCTGTGGTACAGTGTGCATTTTGAGGACTGTTTTTTCTTTTTGCAAACTTTCTGATGCTATTCTTCTTGTGATTAATGATATTTCCAAAAATCAGTGGTGAAACTCTGAAAACAAAACAGCAGCATTAAGTGTCTTTAAGGCAAGTAGCAAAAAATTTACTCTGTATAAAAGAATACACTTGCTGTATTTAAGGAAGTACTTTCTAAGAAATTGACAGGAGTGGAAAAAGTTCAGCCAAAACATCCAAGGAATTTAAAGTAAGAATTTTCTGTGTTTTTACTGTATTGTGTGACAAACCACTTTATCTTTGCTACAGGAAGAACAAAAAGCATGTAAGTGTGACATTCATGTTTGTACGCAGCTCCTGAGGCGTCTCTGAACATACAGTTCACCTACACATTTAATCTCAACCTCAAATTAATCTCCTTTCATCACTTTTAAAGAAAATAACAAAAAATATTTCCTTCATGAACAGCTCCCCCCAGGTTTTCAGCACCTAAATGTTTTCTCCTCCGCCTCAGGCTGCCTCTTTTCCATCTTTCTTAAATCTGAATAGGGTATTTTGGGGACAGCACTGACTGTGGGCAGAAGAGGCTGAGCACCTTTCCTGCCCGTATCTCCTCTTTCTGACCTCGGTAAAGGGAAAAGCCCAGCTCTAATGCTTCCAACTACGTTATTTATTTTTTGTCTCCCAGATAATAAGATTGCCAGAAATACAGTATAGCTAGGGTCAGTAATAATTAATTGGATATTTACTGTTCTTCAGTGCAGGCAGAAACCATATTTCCTGCTTCCAAGCCACATCAAATAACAAATCACACAGCCCTTGACTGTTGCAAGAAGCAGCACTCAAACCTTCTCCAGCCTGATCACAACATGACACAGGACCACCACCTTTGAACAGGAAACATGGCCAGAGCTGGACTATTACCTGTTTGGACAGAAGCTGTGAGAAGAATATTCTGAGTACCTGAGGTACCACGAGCTGGGCACACCAACACGACTGCCTGGAGGTGCTGGGGGACAGGAGGACGTGGTGGAGGACAAGTACAGGGAGTGCAACACGTGGCCTTCCATGTTATCCCCTCCTTGGCAAAGGCACAAGAAGAAGTTGCTCTTCCAAAACATTTTTAAGAATTGTGTGGCTAAAATCAGACACAGAGAAACCAACTTCACAGTGCCACTGTTTTATGAGGGTGCTCTAGAAAAGCCATCGTCCCAACCCAGCGCTGATGAGACCGCAGGAGGCCACACAGAGCAGTAACCAAAAAACTAAAGCAGCATCTTTATTTTATACATAACCGTCAGTATAAAAAGTTTATTACATAAGAGCTGTTCTGTTTACAATATATTATATTGCTTCAAGCTGATGCAGAAACTTCATACATTATAGCTCTACTTTGTTTACAATATATTATGTTGGTTAAATGGCACCACTGCAGTTTCTTTTTAATACACAAAACTGTAAAGCCAAAAACAACATTGAATTGAGTCACTTGGTTTTTAAATTAGGCTATTTATTTGTTTGTTTGTTTTTCTTAGGGAAAAGTCTAAATACACAATCTGTAAAAATTTGCAAAATGCACTGTTCTTTTGTCTTAGGCAAATTACACCTGTAGTCATTTAAATAATTCAGGGTTAGCATCTACAGGGTTTTCTGCTTGAATATTGTTACTTTATTTTTGGAAAATATTTGCAGCTATATAACCAAAAAAAGAAAGTTTAAATGTAACTGAAGTATAGTACAAAACAACATCCAAAGCACTGAGAGAAGAAGCATATATAATCATGCTACAGAAGTATGTATAAAACTTAAAAGAAATAGTAAGTGTCAGCTCAGTGGTTTATAATGAAGCTAATAAAATTCCAGCTGGTAATCTTAACTGTAATGAACAGCATTTTAACATTCAATCCATGAGAGGTTAATGAAGGCTGTGAACTTTGTGTAACACAAACCGTTTCAGATGTTGGAGTTCACCAGATATAATTGGATTCGGGTGGAACATGCTTCTCCTCGGCCCTTTTCGGCGAAGGCGTGTGCTGCCTGTGCTTGCTGCCTGCTGGCCTCAGGGCGCTCAGACCGCTGGCTCCATACCCTGGAAAATTATCCAGTTCAAGAAAAGAATCCACAGACATGGGCTTGCAATCCACAGCTAATATATCAAGTGGAAACTGTCTCGCCTATTTGAACAAAGGACTTTGCTTTGCCTTACAAAAGTGCTCACGCCTCTGTTGCCCCTCAGGATGAATGAAGTCCTGCCAGACAGAAAGGTACTTGCCCTGGCCAGGGGGCCCAGGGACCTCAGCAGAGCCAGGCTGTCACTCAGCCCAGGTTCACATGTGTAACCCCCACACCAGTCATGATGAGCTGCCACCAAAAGGCTCAGGAATGGGGTGCAAGCAACCCCCTGGGGAGAATCTGCACCAGCTACCTGAGCTGGACTTTGGTTTATGGCTGAATGAAAAGAAAAAGAATACCAGGGACCATAAACACCTGAGGGGAAAAAAAAACCCCATCTGAAACAGGCTTACTAGAGCTGCTTTGTTGTGGAAAATGAAAGTGAACAATAAAAATGGAATCCGAAGTATTATGTTGTAATTCTTTATAGGTTCATTTACCCATCTCATTACTTAAAGCTCATGGAAATGACTTTGAAAAATGGAGTCCTCTGTTCAATTCTTTAACCACTTCTTTTTTAAGAAAACAGCTTTACCAAAGAGCCATTCATTTGATGGAATATGAAACGAATCTCTCAAGTTAATTATAAATCTCCTCTCAAGATCTGGTGATGTTTGGTTTCACTTAAAAAGAGTGAATTGCAGCACGTGCACATTAATGGACACTTAAAATGGGGGTGAATTTTGTCCAAATGTCCATTTCACAGCTTCTCAGCTGAATACAAAGAGAGTTTTGCAGTACTAAACACAGCAGGACTGCACCCAAACTCTGAGTAATGAAGGATGCAAAACCTTGGAGATTACAATAATGTGAGACTACTGACTTCTCGTCACAAGGCAGGTATGAGCTTTGCTTTTGTTGTACAGGTACTTGGTTTTTTTTGGTGATGGTCGCCTAAATTACGTATTTGTCTTCATTTGCTATCTGTGTTTTTTATAGGAAGAGTATGACTGGAAGAAACAGTCCATACCAAACTTAACAACTGTAGTTCATATTGGTTCATTTCCTTTTATCTTTTTTCTAGCCACAACTTGTATTAATGGTATTTTTCCTTCAGAGAATAGCATGAATACTTAAACACAAATCCATTAGGTAACAACAGAAAAGTGGACTCCCAATTTTCACAGCAAACCTAATATTCACAGCAAAATCCATCTTAGTTGGATAATACTTAGTTTTTAATGAAAATATTATATTTATTCTAAAACACCTTGATGTGACAAAAATCACATGCATGAACAGGTTTTAATAAAAATGAACATTCAGTTGATGCTGCAATGGAAGGTTCACATTCCTTATGGCTGATTTGTTTTGTAGCTGCAAAATCTTTCAACTTTTTAACTATTGACACATAAAACACAACATGTGAATTGATCACCAACAGTGATAAGCATTAATATCTTTTGGGAGTATACACAGATCATATATTGAAGATCTGCTGTTACAGTACTGTTGCACATGAAGCACAAAATTAAATCTGAAGTTCTTGCTGGATATATCCAATTGTATTTCAAGTAATTATACAGTACCATTTTAAGCCCAGTGAAATGATCAGTTGCTACAATAGATGGTAAATGGACCAAAAAAGCACAACAGAAATTCATTTTGAGAACTTTAACTTTGCTTTGGGGCAATGTATTTTGTATGCTGTGGAACACGGGTGGTAGAGGAGGAGAAAACTGTGAAGTTGAAAGGACAGATTTTGCATAATTCTTCAAGTTTTCCACAAAATTTCTAAAGGACATTTTATTTTTTCTAAGTTTCAATCAGTTTTAAAACCTGCCAGACTTTTACTTTTAAAAATATCTACTCAGCATTTCAAACCCAGCTGATATTTCTGAGGAGTATTGAAGGAATTGGATCCCTTCCATACTATGGTTGGAAGACATGTAAAGTCCTCTGATGGATACCAGATTCTGGAATTTCTAATCCAAAAAATTACCTTGATAAAACACTTTCAAATTATTATGAGTTTTTTTAAAGTATGCAAAATGATTGAGTATTGAAAACCTTTGTTTTATTATTCGTAATAAAGATCAGAGAAAGAGAAGTGTGGTGTCATTAATAATGCTGGAAAGGCTCTTGAGGCAATCACTTCTGTATTGCATTGGGTGTGTAACACTTCAGATATGACTCCCAGGGTTTGTTTCTCACTTACTTTTATTGCAGTGTCTCCCGTGCCAGCCTTCTTTGCACTGGCATTTGTTGGGCTCCACACAGGTGCCGTACAGGCCACAGCTGGGTTCGCAGACAGCTGTGAAAAAGTGAATACATACACCAGGCCTCTTGACATTTCATCCAGAGACAGTCACACATTTGCATTCCCTGCTGTTTCACACCATGAGTTGGTCCTGGCATGGGCTGGGGCTCTCCAAGTAAATCTGTGCCTTTGCACTGAGTGCAGTCAGAGCCCTGAAACAGTCCACACTCATCTCTTTGCCTGCAAGGTCTGGCTCAGCCTCTGGCAAGAGAATCAAGTTGTACAGCAGAGCTGACCATCCACCAGAACCAGTGGAAGAAGGACAGCACTCCCCAGCACCTCACTCACAAAGTGTTCTCATTTTGTTTTAACATTATTAAGCATTATTTTAACATTGTTAAGCATTTCTCTGCTACTAAACTGCTATTGCTGACCTGTCACACTGCTGTTTAATAGAAACTCAAGAGTACACAAGAGACTGTGAGGACACTTCTGTAAAAAAATGTTTCTGGTTTCGTAATTTCTTTAAGTCTGGTTATGACATATGTCCAGAATGTAAAATAACTTGAATTACTTTGACAACAAACAATAAGTACTGATGTTATGTGAAAAGAAGATACTGCACAGTGAGCTCGATGTTCCCACAAGGAGTGATGGAGTTTTGGTACTCACGCTTTGAACACAGGTCTCCCTGGTAGCCTTTGGAGCACTTGCATTTATTCTTACCAGTACATTTGCCTCCATTTCGACAGGGTTGATGGCATTTACCTAGAAATTGAAAACATAGAAACAACGGTCTTAGTCCCCTGTGCCTCCTGGAGACAAGTGTCTGACAAACTTGCCCTGTACTTGAAAAACTCATCAGATGTCAGAGTGTGCACTATGGATCCATCAGGAAAGACCCTTCTGCAAGTCTGTGCTTCCAATTTATAAATGTTCCTCTCCTTCGAAAATATGACAATAATTTGGCATGGCCAAAGCCTGTGTGACCTTCAGCTTTTGCCCAGGTTTGTGCCACCCTGACTCTGCAGAACCCCCCAGGTGACTGGTCAGTACCGACTCCTGCTCTCCTCACCCTTCACAGGGGACGCAGCACTGCCCAGACTGTGTGGTTCCAAAGACAGGATCCAAACCTGAGGGGTCCCAGCAGAAAAAAATCTAGTGACATCTGATACTGATACTAGTAAGATACTCAGGAAATGACAGGCATGGCTGCTACTTGCAGACTGTAAATATATTGGCTGGGTTAGTCAGCTTGTAGCCCCGGTGGGGAGCACCGTGGTGCTGTGGAGGGTGCAATGAGGGATGTCCCACATGGCAGCTCAGAAACTAAGGGCACATTAAAAATACATGCCCTTCTTCCCTGTTTGCAATGAACAGAGCAACTCTGCCAACAGTAATTGGAACTGGTAGACATTTTTTCCAAGTTCTTGATCTAGAAATGACTTTTCTTCACAAACAGACTTTGCCAAAGACATAGGCTGGGTCTGGTGGTGTTGCTGTAGGAAGTCTTGTTTGGCCCTGATTGCCTGGGACTGAGGAGGCCCCACTGGTGGAGGAGAACCACACTCAATTTTTTTCTTTCCTGCTGGGTATGACACACCAGGGACCTTCCTAAAACTTAATGTCCAATGTCCCATCATCAAACTGCCTATACCTTGTCAGAATTTGTCTGCATTAGTGAACCAATTAAATCTTCACTCATCTCTAGGAAGGGAAGCACAGGGCCCATGAGCTCAGTCACTCCCAGGCTGAGGGAGGCTCACTGTAACCTCCCTGGGCACTCTTGGGCCACCAGGAACCACAATCTCACTTTCCTGCCACCTTGGTGCCCATATGTACCAGTGCAGCTTTTCTCATTGTTTTCCAAAACCATTTTTTTATCTTTTCTAATGCCACCACACTACCTAGATTCTTCAGAAAAGATAAAAAAAAGGCATCCTTCCTAGATTTAACACTGATATTTACCTGAATCTGTGAGCAAACAAAAACTGGAACCTGAGGCAGCAAACTGCTTCCTTTCTCCTTTTTTTTCATTTTTTTTTTTAAGAAAGGTGTTAACTGAGACCTGCATGTCATAATTTAAGCATCAACACTGGCTTGCTGTGCTGGAAACCTCATCTGATGATCACAGACTGCCCTCTTGGGAGCTCAACATCACAGGCAGCGCCTGCTTAGCCCTCAACCCCTACAGACCTTTGTGATTCACATGTGTATTGTCAATATAAAGGAAACACTTGTTCCTAATGTACATAATTATTTTAATAACCCTGAAACAAGTTTCATAAGCAGCTGATGGAACAAAGTATGCGAAGGAGAGTTTCTGTAAAATCACAATTTCTCTGCAGGAGCCTCTGGGGAGGGAAATTTTAGGCATTCTAATTTGCAAACATTTGCATCCCAAGAAATTAACAACTGGAAAGAGCAATGCTAAAGAAATCAATGAAATTTCCTAGTTCTTTAAGTAAATCTGGAGGATATGGGTCAAGAGATGTGACACCAACTTCCACCAATTTGCAACAGGCAAGCATTTGGCTCAATTAACTTTGGACTAAGATATTGTCACAGAATGAAAGAAAGAGTAATAACTCTCTCTGTTATTGACTGAAAAAGGGAAAAAGCAACAAAACATCTGGTGACAAGTAGGGGAGGAATCCAAAGCAAAATAAAACTCTCTGGATTCAAATTGAAACACTAATTAGAGACAATGCATACCTCTAACTGGAAAAAAATCTGGAAGACTGTGAATGCTTGTTAGTGCTGTAGACTGGGTTCAATATACTTCCTAGGAGTCTTACAGAGGGATTCAATTATTACACAAGCACTGAAAACCTATACCCAATGTTAAAAAACCCAACAAAACAAACAATAAAACCTTGCAATTTTCAGAAGATGGCTTTCTGCCTGTTGAAAAGTTTCCCCCACTCATTATTTTAAGAATCCCATGACTGAATGTAGCTGGCCCTGGATCTAAGGAAATGGACTGTTGTTGTGTTTCTAAGCCTTGTCTAGATTTCTTGCAATCTTCTACTGCTGTGCTGGTGCTGGTGCAGTGCCCAGATGTGATGACAGCTGTCACTCACAGTCTAACAATTGCAGTCCTGGCTTTACAAGAGCCAGAGTAAGTGCATAGCTTTCTTTGCTCTCATTGTCCTTGTCCCAGTTTAGGTCTTGGCATACTGTGATCCTGAATTTGCTTTTTTTCCCCTTTTGTACAAAAACTAGTTTACTGCCTGTATTTTAATTAATTTAATTTGAGTTTCATAGGTAAGCCTCGCCAGGAAGGCAAAACAGTTGCACTTATCCCAAGCTGCAGTAGACAAATATGAGCTTCAGCTCCTCAGACAGATCAATTAAATGGACTGCCCTTAATTATACACGCTGTAATAAGAGTTCTAAGAATTCTCCTCAAAAAAACACCACCAAACATAAAATACATACTTCCCTCTTTGAATCAAACTTTAATCTTCTTCTGAAAAATGTCAACAATGTTGAATTTTTGGGGACTGAAGAAAGAAATCTGCCAAATAGTCAAATTTGAACTTGATGTAAGCAAAGGTAAATCCAGCGAAAAGCCACACTGTTGTTCTTGTGGCATATGATCTGAATTTATATCAATGGGCAATCTTTATTAATTTAAAAAAAATAAAGCTTTGCTACTTATTTTTCCTTATTTTTTAATGATGTAAAAAGGAGTTGCAAAATGCCTTGTAATGCATAGAGACACGGTGAAACACTAATCTACACATGAAGACTGAGAAAAATGTGGGTCTTATTGTATCTGTGTACTTTCTTTGCCCAGCAATTCACTTATTGTTGTGCATTGGCTGGCAGCAAGTTAAGAGCTTATTTCCATTTGTTTCCAAAGTGATAAAAATTTCCTAATTCTGAGATGAGCTCGTTTCTTCTTATACATATTAAAAAATCAGCATTTGCATATCCCAGGCCAAATCCTTCTCTCCATGCTCCTGTGAAGGTGCTGGGGAATATCGGTGGGGTTATTTACAGAAGGGAAAGCTTTTCTGCACAATGTCCTGATCGATGTTCTAAGTCCAGGAAGAAAGAGGTCTGGTTGTACATCCTCAAAATACCTTGTGAATGTAACTTTGCATATTACATGAAAGCTCTTACAGTTCAGTCCTCCTTTTGCCCCAAACCTTTTCATTCCCAAATTATAGTAGCCCTTTCAGAGGTGTCAGCTCACACTTAATCTGCTGTGCCCAAGTGTGATTTCCCATAATGTTTGAAAATAGATGCACCCCACAGGCTTGGCATGGCAGCACATCTGTCTGCCAAAGGGTATTATTGTTTGCACACTTATGGCTTGAGGATTGTCACTGGTTACTAGTGAAAACTGAACAGGGCAAGGGGTGAGATGGGCCAGCAACGAATCAAATTTCTAAGTAGGGAACTTGTTTGGAGGCATGTGGTGTCTGAGGGTTCCAAATTGCTGTGTGAGACCCTTGCTCTGCACCCAGCAGAGGCAGGTCACATGTCATCATTCAGGCATTGACAGAAGAAGCTGACATACACGAAAGCAAGCACACAGAGATGCTACTCACTAATTTCACATTGGTCTCCTTCATAGCCTGAAGGACAAATGCATTTTCCCAGATAGAAACACGTCCCTCCATTGAAACAGGTTGTTGTACAGTTTGCTGAAACAAATAAAAGAGGAATGAACTAAGTCATTAATATGAACTAGGACTAACTTGGACTTCATGTTCTCTGCTGTTCATCATAAATAAACATTGAGTAGGTTGTAAAGGCAGGATTAACCTCTTTTCATCTGGTTTACAAAGTAAGACTGAAATGCAGTTATTCCTACATAATGCTTTACATGGGCACACACACAAGGCAATATAGAATGAGGCAAGTGAACAATACAGCAGTGAGCTCTCTGAGGACAGACTGTGCTACATCTTTATCAACCCCCACACATAAAGCTCACTGAAGGATTAAGGAACTATTGCCATTGAAACTGCCAGCGTCTGATAAAAGGAGCACGGCCCAGGACTGGAAGTTACTTCTACACAAGGATATTTGACTACAGCTCCTAAGTAATCCTTTGACTAAAAAGAAACCTCTGTGAACTTTTCCGTGTGGTGACATTGATGCAAATGCTTTGACTTTCAGCTGCCAAATGTCTTACATTGTGTTAGATGTGACTTTTCACCAAACAGCTGGGATTCACATTAATCCTTCAAGACATCGGGAGCATTTAATTAAAGAGCACATTTGAAGCATTTCTAAATATGGTAAGAGTCTATTCGAAGACTAGATAAAAGACATGAGGGCATTGACACCAACAGTTTCTGCAAAATAATAAGGTTCCCACTATTTTGTTGAAAAGTCCTCTAGAACCATTTGCATTCAGTCTTTACTTCATATAGACCTGCAATGAAAATTGCAGCACCATGTTCTGCTCTGCCACGAGCAGGTCAGTTATATTTCTGCAGGAAATTACTTGGGTTTTTTTTACATGGTAGCTTAGACTTATGTCCATGTTACTGTTCTGAACAACTGATTGTTTGTTTTTACCCTTCATGAGCCTCACTGCAACAAAAAAAAATGAATGGCTTGAATATTTTTTCATGTGTGCGGATACAGCACATTAATGTACTAAATAATTAGTAAAACTAATTTTACTACAGGAAACTAGAGCTCAAATAGAGTTCGTTTTTTTCTTCCTCCAGAAATATAAGACATTTCTGTGGCAAGATCCACAGTTTTTAGTGAATAAACTGAAGTGATTATCCAAAGTATCTTTCACAGAGCTGGGGCATACGGGTACCTGCAAATCCCCATATTCTTACAACAGCTGCCAGGCTGTGCTACAGCATCTATTTTAAGAGTCACGATACTTTTCAAACTTGTTTACTTATCGCTTGCCTGACTTTCCAAAAGGTGCTCCTAGAGGGCACCTGCCACAGGTGAATAAAGAGAGGGTGCTGCATGCAGGGCAGCTCAGCTGGCGTTACCTTTGTCGCAGTTGATGCCGTAGAACCCCGGGGGGCAGATGCAGAGGCCGGGCGTGATGCAGAGCCCTCCGTTCATGCAGCGAGGAACACACAGTGCTGAGGAGTGGGAAGAGCAGAAAAAGCATTGCTGGTGGGATAGCAACTGGTATTTAAACACACTGCGCATTGGCTCCTTAAGCTACTTTTCCTTCTGCTTATTGTTCTAAGTCACCTTTGCAAAATGCCTCTAGTAGGGGGTTAAATCTATTACAGCTTTGGTTTGTACCTGGCAATTTCTGTATAGCGCTACTAAAAACTGTAGGCTAATTCAAGTTCAAATTGATTCCATATGTAAGCAGAAATTGCCTCTTGTATTAGTTTAATACCCAGCAGGGGAGAGCGAAGTACCCACATACACCTACACACTCTGGATATTTAAAATCCTGCCAGACAAGTCTTCTCTGTAAGTGTATTCTGGTTCCTCAGCTGTGAAGCCAGGACTATCTCAGAGGGGTCAGTAACTCAGCTGGGTTCCCAGGCAGGCTTTACAATGAATGAATCTTCACTTCTCCTGCATACCTGAGCAGAAGCATGGCTACCTAACCTTGGCTAGGAAAGCCTGCTGCTCAGCCAGACTGTCCTGCATGCTCCCAGTGAATCTTCTCTGGAGCCCCTCTGTTCTTCAAGACCTCTCTGCCTTGTGGCCACCCCAAAACGCTCTTCAGGGAGGCATGTTAGGGGGCAATGCTTCATTACATGGCTGCCTACAATTGGTACATGCAGTGAGGTTGGGTCTGGGCTAGTGAGTTAAACAGGCACCCAGGCATGGGGCCAAATGGCCTTGTGAAATCATCTTGTGAAATTGTTGGTGTCTTGGCTTTGTCCTGGCTGACCAGAAATCCTCCTGGCCATGGTCCTGGGATGAGTAGTGACCACAGGCTCCTCCCAGGAGTGAGTTTGTAATGGGTTTGTTGGAAGGTAAGATATGAATAATATGGTATTCCTATGATAACATATGAATGTAAGATGTGCTGGTCACTCTCTAGGCCAGAGAATAGTCCTTGATCCTTAGTATTTAATATTTTTGATGTAGCCAGATGTAATCCCAGAATATCTGGGACTGAATGATTGTATTGGAGTAGGATGCCCATGGAGATGGGCATCTCCAGTCACCCTGGGGAGGGACTGCCACTGGGAAAAGGAAGGGAGGGATAGGAAGAAGTCCTAGTTTCCTCACCAAGTCACACCAATTATCTACTCACGGAAGAGAAAGAGAATCTTCCCTTCATCTTCCCATTTTTGTTTTCAGCCTGCTTACAAATCTGATCTTATCTGCAAATAAACAAATGCAGAGCAACTAAAGCACTGGGCTTTGTTTCCCAGCTAGTCCTCATTAGCAGAAGAATTTTATTTAATCTTCTTGCCAGATAGATTCCCTGTGATTAAAGATCACTTAACTATTGCATCAGTTTTTGTTAAAAGCAATTTGTGAAAGATAACATTTTTCATGTAAGCAGTTCGTATTTCCACTAGACCATGGATGATAACAATTGTCTTACATGTTTGAACTCAAAAGATCCCAAATCTTCAGAATAGGCAATTCTTAACTTTAGGAGAGCCTACAGTGCAGGAGATACGGTTTTCTTGAGATTGTGGTAAAGAAGACAGTTGGGATTTTTTACTAAATTACCTTTCTCACAATGAGGCCCATAAAATCCATCAGGACATTCACAGACATGTCTTTCGTTGCAAACCCCTCCATTTCTGCATCCTCCTGGACATTCCGCTTCATAAAATATAACAACAATTTTAATTAAAATGTTATATACTTCAGCTGCCAGCCAGACCTCAGTAGGATCAATATATTTCTTTGACACAACAGTTAAAATACTTGCTGGCAGACAAACACTGAAGAAATGGAAATTCAGCTAAGATTTCTTCAAGATAAATTAGTTTCTCTTTTCATAGTCTAGAAATAGATGTCCCATCACGTGCTCACATGGGTGATGCGCTTGTTGATGGACTCTGCATTTTCAGTGTTCTACTGCTCTGTAAGTGCATGAGCAATGCGGATGCTCTGCTCAATCCAGTACTTTCTTTTCTGTGTGGAAATGAGCAGGCAACTTAGTGAAGTACTTGCATGGCTGGTTAGACCTACCCTTAGTGTGCAGGACCAGTTTTGATTTCTGCAGCCTGAAGTAGACATCACTGCAACTTGCATTGCACTAATTACCACATCTGTTACTACTGAGGTGACAGTGATGAAATCTGTGTTCATATGAGAGAGTAAGCATCAAGGCTAAGTGGAAGAAGGCCAGAAAGGAAGATGAAAGCATTCCTGCACAACAGTTCTGTATCATTGTCAACTCTCATTCATATCAATTATTGATCAAAAATGTAAAAGCATTTGGCAGCACTGGCAGGATTATACAAGGCTGAGAGATATTTCTGGGTGCCACCACTATCCTCAAAACACCAGAGTCCATCAAACAAGAAGGCAAACTAAATCAAGCCCAATGGAATACGATCAAAAAGGATTACAGGGTAGAAAAACAATTACTCAAAAATACCTTCCCAGATCCCTCACAGAGAATAAGGCAGGAGAGACTGCCTATTCCCATTAGAAAAACTTAATGTCAGTAGGGATCAGTGGTAGGCACAACCTCCTCATCTTGATGCTCTGTTGTGTGACATTCCAAGTGAGAAGGTTCAAAACCTCTGAGGTAAAATGGTATGCCTTAAAAGTAAAGCTGTTTGCAACTGTAGTAATTGTTGTAGAGGTTTTTTGGTCCTACTGTGTTCTAACACTGTATTCTAGGACTCTTTCTGGAAATGCTTCTCTCTTTGTACTCAAATGCAGAGCTGCTATTCATTACCAAAAAAATGCATGCTTGAATACATACCATTTCAAGCAGAAAAATAGGAAAACATACATTTTTTCTTTGTGGCCACCTCTTAGCCACAACAAATCCTCTCTTATCCACAAAATTGCTCCCTTGTTCCCCTCACTTCCTCTAGTGGCCTTTCTGTATGGCCAAGAATAACTGGAAACAGTGACTAGGGCCCTGACAGGAGCTCCTCACCATGTATGACACCTTCCAGAGGAAGGAAACTCACACCTACTCTAACACCAACCACTAAAGACACTCTTATCCTTCTCAGCATCTGTCCCAAAACACCACTCTGTCCACCTTACTAGACACAGGGCAAGAATGGGAGTTACTCCAGTATGGGCTGGAACAGATGATGTGAAAAAGCTCCTCCTCTGCACATCTCTAGAGTTTGGAAAAATCTTTCTTGTGTCTCTCAGCTGGCTCCAGGAACAAAGGACTGGGACAATAATCAGGTTTCTTGAGAGGTCATATGATGCAATACTACTAAACTGTTAGATATTGCAACTCATATAAAAATGGTAACAACAAATAATAACACAAAAAATGATAACTTGGATGAATGCTACTACTAAACTGGTTCAGAACCCTTCCTCTTTAAGCCACTATTTTCCAAAATACAGATCTGTGACTCTGCTATTAGAATACCCCAATGCTATTTCCAAAGTTTACTAAGTTCAGTATCTTTGAGCTGAACTGAAAATGAAAAGATAGGAAATGTTTTGTGCTGTATTTACACTGGACACACAGCTTCATACATGAGATATGATTGGTTTTGTGTCCTTTAAACCTCCATTTTTATTCCTGTTTCTCTGCCCACTTCTTCTCCCCCTCCTCCACTTTCCCTGGGCTAATTGGCAGCAGCAAGGCTTCAAAGGAGACAAGCAGCTTTGCTATTTGGGCGTAGTGAGGTTTCAAAGAATAAACAGCTCTTGCTCCCGCTGCTCACTCTTTGAAGCCACACTACAGCCAATTATCTCAGAGAAAACAGTGCAGAGAAGAAAATGTGGGACTGTGAAGGAAGATTTAATAAAAGAAGAATAAAAATCTTGTTCTTTGTACATCAGCCCTGTCATGGGTTAATTTGATACAATTGCACATGATATGGGATAATTATCTTATCTTACACACTCATTTTTCAATCTCCATAGCCTCAGCTTAAAGTGATAATTATAGTTGTTTGTGGTGTATCAAATTAATTCAGAAAGTCTTATTACGTAGTGCTCATGGTTCATAGCTCAGTTGATTGAACAAGTGCTCTCCTTTCCAAGCAAACACTGCAGTAACTTCACGGTGCTATTCTAGCAGCGTGTCCTCCGTCTGCCAACTGCTTGATAACTGCAAGTACTGAACACCAGTTTCCACCATTTTACCTGTATCAAGAGCCAAGAGGTTGCACCTGAGCTACAGAGAAAGTAAAGCCAAGTTTTGCAGAAATTTTCTGATTTAAGATTTTTGTATTCAGTTTGGATGTGCAAGCTTGAGATCTAGGGAACTAAAGACACCACGTTGGAATTAAGGCACTGAGAGCATTAATTGATACCAGCAGCCCCCACTACAGTTCCCAGAAGGTCAGTTCCCCAGATGATGTGCCATTTCTGGAGACCTTAACATGCTTCCACAGAACTAGCTCTCCTCCAAGCACCTCAGACTGTTTGCTAACAGGGGCTTATCATATGATACATCTCTATCAATGTCCTTAGTGTGATGAGCAGTGAACAGGAGGAGGGAGAAGTGTCCCCAACCCAGTCTGCAAAGGGAGTTCAGTAAGAAAAGGCTCAGTAAACATGTAGTAAATGACCAGCAAATGCACAGAGACAGAAAGCCTGGAATTCACCATGATTGCCACATATTGTGTGACTGTTTTATTTCCATCCTCTCTAGCTCTTATCCTGAATGAAACACAAGATGGTTAGGTGACCTAGTCTAACAGCATTCCAGCATATTTTCTTCAGTGTTACCTTGCTGACAGGTTTTAAAGAAGATGGCGTTCTGAGGGGTCTGGAGAATAATATTGCCTTCTGAATTCATTATGATCACGTTCACTTCAAATGCAGCAACTCCATCTTGTTTTCCAAGGCAAGGAAATCCAACCTGAACAACTTAAAAGGATAATAATACCAATAATACTTATATTTACATGCACATATACATATACATATAAAAACATACATTGAAATACTAAAAAAAATAAATATAATAGGTGTATTCAAGCTTTGGAGGAATGCCACTGATGAAAACTTGCAACACAGACACACACAAATCCCTTTATTCAGAGGTGGCTCCAGGGTTAGAAGTACAACAGCACAGGAGAAGAGCTTGTGCTCATCTGCTGAAATAACCCCAAGAGTCAGTAGACAGTGATCTTAACACAACCATACTTTTCTTGCAGATGAGGAAATTACTCATGTGGAGGTAACTAAGGATATGTCAAAACAAACTGGAAGCCTACTTTTAGTTTTCTGAGTTAAACTTCTCACTTCTGAGTCTAAATTTTCTGTGCTGACTTCTGTAAAAACATATATTTTGGGAAAAGAGTTACTTTAGATAAGTTATTCTGGTTTGGTTATTGCAATTAATACCTAAATAATATATTGATCTAACAAAAACTTACTCCATAAATTGCTGACAAAATGGTACATTTTGTAATATGATCACCAGTTAAGTTTTTAAAAAGAAGACATAGACACCTCACTCTGCCAGAACTAGCTAAACATAGTGACATTTGGACATTGCCTTTCCAGGGAAAGTATTCAAATACTTTTGAAACACAAAGAGTTTAAGCAACTAATTAAGGCCAGTAAATCTGGATTATTTTAATGATGAAGTAAGCCAAATACCTCAGAACTATGGAATTCTCTGCTGTGATTGTCACAAGTGATCTCAAATAATCTTCAGATGAAACTATTTTATCTCTTTTCTTCAAAATGTGCTCTTCTTAGCTGCTTTGTAAGTCAAATCCAACTAATAGAAATTGTTTATTCCTTTCTTCTGAAGCTGGCCTGCGATTTCCGAATGAAATCAGAGCTAAAAGCCCTACATTTGGGTTGGTTTACATTGTTTGTTATAAAAATTTTGCAAGCCATAATTTGGCCATTTTCATTATTTGGTGCCTTGGTAAAATACAGAATAACTTACTGCTGAGAATAGTATTTTTGCCTCTGGTAAGTCCTATAAACTGAAAGGTCCCTTGCAGTTCTCATTCTAAAGCAATTATGTAGTCGAAGGGTTTTTGCACCAGCCTTTGCAAAGACCAAAACCATGTAACCATGTGGCAAGAAAGAAACTCTTATAGTTGATTATTTAAAAATACATTTTAAATGCTGTGAACTTCTTAAACTGTAGTAACCTTCTTATAGCATAAGTGCAGGAAATCAGTGCTTGGATTGGGATATGTTTTTGTTGAACAAATTGCAATGGGGAGGAAGATGTGGCAGACTGTTAATGACAGCACTATAGCTGTATCTAGATTTCATTGAATTGGTAGCAAGCCCTGAAGTCCCCTGAGATTTAGCTATGGTTTAAATGCCTAGGGAAAAACCCAGCAATGCATCCCTAGAGTCCAAGGCCACAGATAATAAACCTTTTATTCCAGCATTGCCCACTCTGGAAGCATCCAAATTTTTGGACTTACCATGTGTCTGAACAGCCAGGCACACAGATAGGCAGAAAAGGACCCTCCTGTGAGCAAAAAACCACCTGGATCATGGCTGAACTTTGTGGTGATTCAGAGTTGAAATAAAACCCTTCAGCTCTTCCTGAATCTTTGCATTTTCTATGTCTGTTTGAATAATGCTAAGTACCCACCAATAGCACTACAGTCAACCCAAAGCACAGAGAGAAGTCCCATGCATTAACAAATAGCCATGAGCTCCCATGGCTTATCACAGTGCTGACCAGGGCCACAGGAGGGCAAATCTCAGCTCTGGTCACTGCTTCCCAAGTTCAGGATGCAGTTTACATTTGTCCATCACTGGCTAAAAACAAGGAGAGGGAATCACATATATGGATTTCTTTCTGTTAACCATCCTCCCACCACCAGGCCAGAAAACAGCCTCTCCTGCACATATACATATCTGTATCCTCTGGAACACTTTTATCCAGGGCTGCAGAGCAGTTGGATCTAACAGGAACAAGGAAAGTTTAACTAATTGGAAAATGAACCTAAGGAAACCTAGTGTCTTAAACCTAATTTAAGTTTAGGTATCAGTTAGAATGCTCTCCTAGGATGCAGGTTTAATACCTTTTGTCTGGGAGATCATACCTTTTCCCTCTGCTGAGGAAACCAAGTTTCTCTAAATTGTCCTCAATAGAAGCAGGGTGAGAGTAACTCCTGTATGTCTGCAAGCCCTTCAAGTTTGCAAGCAACTGCCTTACCCACTAAGCAAATATGCCAAGGCCAGCAACAAAAACCACCTTTAGTCTCGGGTGGGACTGCTTAAGGGACATCTCTGAATGACCAGTCTCAACAGAAGCAGGCGTGAAAGGTCTGGAGAGCCCATAGAGAGCCCTGCAGCCCACTGTCACTCTCCACCAGCATGGCAGACAGAGCAGAGATGGTGCTGCGCTCAGAGACTATGCTGATTTCTGCCACTGAGCTTGGAGAGATTTTCAGCATCTTTGGATGCTCAGCACCTATATTTCAATGTCTCAACATCAGCAGTGGGGAGGGAGAGACCTCCTGAGCCTGGCAGGTGGGCTGTGGGGGCTGCATGCAACACATGAAGTAGCACCGTGCCAGCAGCCTGATCACACCAGACTGCAAGAGCACCACACTGCCTGGGTCAGACAGGGACAGCAGGGGCCAGCTCGGGTCACCTAGGGGGCCAGCTCTTTCTCAGTCGCAGGCCACTACATTGCTTCTGGGCACAGACCTATAGCTGTGTTTACCTTACCACACCCTCTGAGTTTGGTGTTCAAGATGTTAATCACTGCCACAAAAATGACTCACTTTGTTTTTGAACTTTCCGACCTCAGATTGAACCACTGGATCTTCATAGGCTTTCCCCTGCAGCCAGAAATGAGCAGCCAGCTGCTTCTCATTGGGCAGGTATCCACACTCCTCCCAAATACCTTCTTTTGCACAAGCTGAGCAGTCTTAGCTCTTTAAGCTCCCACTGAAAAGCATCTTCTACAGCCTTCTTAACATCTTACCATGTGTTTAGGTGTAACAATATCCATGTTGTGAGCACTGAATCAAGTACCAGTTCTGGGACTTGGGAATGGGTTTTCAAATAAGTCTAAGGAACCTAGGTGATTTAAATCTCACTTAAATCCAAGGAGAATTTGGTACCTCATCTCAGGATATATCAAATTAGAGAAAGCTAAGAGAAGGACAAGGCTGCACCCAATGAGGAGCAATTGGGTAGGCTGTGACTCTTCAGTCTGGCAAAGGAAAAAAAACAAACCAGGGGATACATAATAGATGTGTACAAAACCATGGATAGGATGAACAGTATAGACTGACTACAGTGTCTACCAGTGCAAGGACCAGTGACCATCAGATGAAGCTGTTGCAACCAGACTTGAAACAACAGGAGGGGGATCTTCATGCAATAGATGGCAGTGAACTCCTTGCCAAGGTGATTGGAGAGAACAGAAGATTATATGGACTCAAGGAGAGCCTGGAGAAGTACTGGAAAGAGAGATCTATAACCCACGTGGACTTATAAAGCAGACAAATCACTTAAGACACAAGAAACCCTCCAAGCTGAAGGTAGTAAAAGCTGAGAGGGTAAACAGAAGTATCACATATGCTTGTCCTCCTTTTGCTCTTCCACAGATCTTCTTATGGCTACCAGTGGCCATAAGGCAAATACAGGCTAGAGAGGCCCTAGAGCACTAAAGCCATTCATATGCCTTATTTGGAGGCAAATATCCTCAAAGAAGTTTCAAGAGTCCACTGACTTTTATAAAACCACTGGGTTCAGTTACCTCTGAATAAGGTATCTGTTAATCCTCATTCTTGTTTCCCATGCTCATGTTTACTACAGTTGTCTTTCCCCTTTTATTTCTTCTTAATTGTCTTTAAGGGCAATTAATTGTCTTTGGGCTAAAACACTTTTTTAAAAAATACCAACTGTTGATTTGTTACTAAATACAAGCTTGTGGTTGAATTTCTTCCAACATCTGTATGTACGGAAAAGTGCTTTGGTAGTGCAGTACATCCAGGCAAACTAGACTTAACTCTGTTTTGCCAACATTTAAATTATAGCAATAACTACAGAGTAGCAAACAATTGCTATCTTTATAGCATTTACTTAGCATGTATTATTATATATATATATGTATATATATTTATTTAGCGTGTAATATTATAGCATGTATTTACTTAGGACTACTCAGTTAATTTTGGCCAGCTAACAGGCAGTGTAGAAAACCCATCATCATAACAGTGTCTCACCACTATCAGTGTACATGCTTCAAATCCTGTATGGGTACTGAGCACTGGAACACCCAACAGGACTTAAATCCTGCTTATTTACACAGCCAGTGCAGCGCTGCCCTGCTCATGATCCATGTAAGGGAACACCATGGACATGCCCCTATTAGTCCTGGAACTGAGGCACCAGTGCTGCCAACAGAGTAAGTCCTTGTTGGCTTTAATATATAGATCTCCCACCCATGATGGTTAACAGACTTCCTGCTGCAACTATGAGCTCTCATCTCTGGCCTCCCTGCACTTGGAGATTAAATTTTCCTAAAATTATTCAGAAAGGGGTAATTTTGGTCTAGCCTTTCTAGATAGTTAAAAATTAAAGGAGAAACTAGCTTATATTATAGTGCTGAGTGCAGCAGAGAATGCTTTTCACATATCTCACCTGCTTTATATGGAAATAGAGATAATGCTTAACAAGAACTTGCCTTTTATGACTTTTAAGTTGCTTTTAAGTATCTTTATTTGACATTTATTTGGCTTGGAACCAATTCAATTGCAGCAGTTGTGGTATAAATATCATAGCATCTTTCACCCAAATCTATTTTCAGTACTAATCATTCAATCCACTTTGAATGGAGAGACCAATCATTCATGTTAAATTCCAGGTGGCACAGCAAAAAGCTGTATTGAAACATTACTTCAATGCCAATCTACTGCAAGCTGAAAATGGAGAATATTATACACAAACTTTCAGAATTTATCCACTAAAAAACAGCGAAGGAATAATGACTCATCAGAAATGAAAACTTATGTATCAGTAGTTCATTTACAGTCCAATCCTCCTGTTTCATTACTCATTTCTTTCCCACATTTATCCCACTGGTTGGCTAAGGAATTTAGGAAACAATGATCACTAAGACACTACTGTCACCAAGACACGCATTTCTACCAGAGGCTATCATGTATGAACCCTGAAACAGATCACATCGATGGTTATTCATCTGCTTCAGAGTGAACCAGATTCAGTAATCTTTCATGGAGAGCTTTTGTACTCAAATCAGCTCCCTATGCACCATGGTATTTCTGAAGCACTTGCATTGGGCTCAGCCTCTGCTGTGGAGCGGTAAATTCCAATGAAGGATTAAGAATGCACAACTAAAGGATAAATGATAAATGGTAATATCCTAAACTAGAACTTGTGGTTTTGAGCTGAATGCCTGATGAGCCCAAATGAAAGCAAAACATCCACAAACTGCAACTGCAACCTCTGAGAAACAGAATAATTTGACAGTTTTTCCAATAGTGATCAAAGAATTTGTTTTCCAAAAGTTGTACAACTTAAGTAATAGCATTAATCAATTTTATGCAACAATTTTGCACAAGTTTCTGCTGATTTATCTACACATAAAAGGTTCATGTGTCTTGGCTCAGACAAAATATGCTGCTGTACTTAGGCAAGGCAATTACAAACTGTTCAGCGCCAAGCACTGTGGCAAGCATTGCTTTAGGCAATAAACTTCAGAACTACAATTCATAATGAAATATTTAGACTTTACTGGCTGCAGAATACTTTTTACAGAAACAAAATTTATAATATCAACAGTACAAACCTGATGCTTTATGAGGAACTGTTCCAAGCAAGGGGATGTTTATAGTTGGATCAGCCATTATGCCTTTATCCAAAGAGTGCAAAGACAGGAATTCATAGTAGTACTCAGCCTATGACAAAATAAATTAAAAATCTATATTTATTTTAATTGTATTCACAGAAGCAAACTATTGAGCACATAAACTTCAGCAGAAAAATACTACACTTCTCATGATGCCATTCTCTGGATTAGTTCCAGTAAGTTCCCTGAGTGCTTCTTCATCTAAACATAACTTTAAAATAATTTCCTCCAAATCCATAGATTGCAAGTGACCATACAGTAATCAGGATGCAGCATATCAGCAAGAAATACAGCATGCATATTGTGGACAAATGTTATACAGAGGAGACCTTTTTTACAACTCACACTGTTCAGCTGGCAGACAACAAAAGTATCTGAACACTAAACTCATTCTTAAAGCTGTTTTTTGGGTAGAATCCTCCTGGAACTGACTGGTGAGCCTGGATGACCTGCCTGTACCATGAGTACAGTTTAAAGGGCATAGCAATATACAAGTGTGGCATGAGATTATCCAGGCTTGCTCTTGGTTGATCTGCACAGCACAGCACATTGCCTTGGGCAAGCAGCGCCAGGCAGTGAGTAGCCACACTGCTGGAGCACCATGCCAGGACACATACCTTGTTTACAGCTCTGACACTGCCTTGTTCAACCCCACTCCATGTGGGGTTCCACTCCATTGTTCCAAGGGTGGAGCCAAGAGCTCTCCTCCCAAGCTGGCTCCAAGTCACTCATTAACTGCAACATCAATGATCTGTTTTGGCGATCCCTAGAAAGTGTCAGCATGATTTGAAAACTACTTTCCACTACCTTAATCCTATCCCTGATAAGCACCTGCATCGTGGCACAAATTGTAGGCTCTGGTACTTTTGTCCATGGGAGCTTGGCCTCTCTGTTGAGTCATCTGTTCAAGATTTCTTCACATTTGATGCAAAGTGCCATCATGTGTCTGCAGTGTGGCTGTACACACCACGTACATGTGTGCCCCTTAGCCAGTCACTGGAGACTTCCACTACTGCCAGTAGCACAGATGCTGGTGTGCAGAGCAAGTGGAAATCAAAATTTATGTTAAATTGTGGCATCTCATTTACCATGAAGCATACAAGGGCTTACAGGTAATGCTATCTGCTAGTCTCAGGTAGGTACTTGAGACTTGAGCATGGGCACTGGCAAAAATGTTTCTGTCTACTCACTGACAGCAGACAGTTCTAGTCTGTCTACCTTTTATCTAAAACAGTGCAGCAAAGAGCCAGATTAAAGCCAAAATTTGGGCTAAATGATAATGATAGCTGGTTTGTAAGATACCTGTCCATGTCCTTAGCCAGAACAAGGTCCTTTTTCTCCTGTAATATCCTGGCTGCCTGTACAAGAAGGACATGGATTTAGTGGAGGGAGGCCAGAGAAGGGTCACATAGATGATCAAGGGACTGGAGTGTCCAATGTACAGGGAGAGGCTGAGAGAGCTGGAGTATTCAGCCTGGAGAAGGCTTATGTGGGATCTAATCGATGTGTGTAAATAGATGATAAGGGTGTGTGAAGAAGATGGACCCAGGCTCTGCTCGGTGGTGACCAGTGACTGGACAGGAGGCAATAGGCACAATACAGAAAACTCTGTTGGAAACTGAGAAAGCATCTTTTTAATGTGTGGGTGACTGAGCACTGGCACAAGTTGTCCAAAGAGGAAAGCAAAGCCTCCCTTTGTGAAGATGTTCAAAAACCAACTCAACACACCCCTGAACAAGTTGCTTTAGATGACACTGTATGAACAGAGGGGTGGACTAGATCATCTCGAGGTCAGACTGTCTGGTCTCAGATAAGCCTCAGCCCTTCTATGATTCTGTGCTCTGCTAACTTGAGCAGAAGCCCTGACAGGGTGTGAGAGACCATCTCCCTAAGCTTCTGATGACACCCGAAAAGTACTCATGACTTGGGTAGAAGGGTTGTTATGAAATTCCTGATCAGCCCTGGCAGAACATCCACTTGCTCTGTGGGGATGGTAAGGAGACCCCCTAATAGAGAGGAGATAGCCTGAGGGGCTACACTCTGCATGGATGATCTTCAGAGGGTGTTCTGTAGGCACAGAGACCTCAGAGGAGGACTTGCAAAACAACAGGGCAGGAAACAATGAAAGGTTTTAAGTGGGGGTTAAACACATGGAGTAAATGTGTGAGGGAGAGAGGACATGGAGAGAAGCAGTAAAACCAGAGATGAAAAATGAAGTCTGGAGTAATGTTCAAAATGCTGCTTTTAATTAAAGACATTTTTTTCCAATATACCATGCCAAAATATGAAAACAAGCCATAAAGTCAGATTGTGAACATTTTTGTTTTCAAATAAAACTTTGGTTCAGAAAAATAATTTTATGTCCCCGCACATCTATAGAATAGTACAGTGAGTGAGTCAAACTCCACTGTCTGTTTCTCATTGGTTAGCTTTGATGTTTGGTTGTATCTAAACCAGGTCATAATGAGTTATGGCCTGGGATATTAAAACATTATGTTCTTACTATTCTAGTAAACAACAACTGGTAACTAGACCAAATAGCTCCACTCCTGTATTTCCATTCCAGACACCCTGTTGTAGAAGGTCATCTTGTGAGCCAGATTCCCAGTTTGTTAGGAAAAGGACTGGAATCTTATTTTCTAGAGCCAATTTTCTAGAGCCTAAGGATAAAGACAAAAAGAAAGTTCCCTGTGGAAAAAGGGACCCATTGCTGCTTGAGCCACAATACTCACTGCCTCTCAAGGAAGTAATTCCTCTAACCAGCGTAGAGGCGTAGCAGCGGTTAGTGCCCGAGGCAGCAGTGTGTTCTGATGGCACATTAAAAAGATGGGAAGAGACATTGCACAAGCAACAGGCTGCTCAGAAGGAAAGCCACATACTGCACATACTGGGGAGAGATAACTGCTCTCACCATTTCTCTGCTAAGGTTTGTACATCTGCTGAGTTGACAGAAACTGAACTTCTTGAAATGATGGTATCTAAGAGCTGGAACACCTCAGGTAGATCCAGCTAGCATAACTTCAAAGTCATGTGCTGCAGAGTATGTTTGCAAATCATGTCTGCTGGATTGAGTTGGTTAAATCTTGACGTAAAAGTTACATACCAAAATCCCAGTCTAGAGAGGCTGCACAGTGAAGCAGAGTAGCTTAACCGCTCAAATATGTGAATCTAAAGCACTATTTGACTGCCACAAATCCTATCTATTTGGAGAAAATCTGTTTTGACACAAATCCTACATCAAGTCTCCAGTATTGTCCTGCTGTAATTGGAGTTGATTGCCAATTAACTTGCATTAATCATCATGACTGAAAAGCAAACAACATGCTTTCAGCAAACATTTACCATGCTCCAGCCTACCATGAAATTTAGTGATGATGGTTAATTGAAGATATAGGTCTGTGCAATTAAAATATTGTCTAGTGACTACCATAATTTATGCTGTAAGTGGTCATTATGAGTGACCTGGTAGTGAGAATGAAATTTGCTTGGATATTGTTGCCAGATAAAGGGGAAAAATCCATAACCTGTAATCCCTTTTCCATTATAAAGGCACTCTCATGTTTTTTGTTTTGTTGTTTTTTTGTTTTTTTTTTACAGCCAGCCTATGAACTCTCTGGTATGTGAAGGTCTAAATTTGGTAGTGAAGCTAAATCTTAGAGGAACAGTGTTGTCAAAGGTGGTGAAGAAAATGGGGTTTGCATTAAATTGGTGATCACTGACAACTGCACACTTTGCAACTGTCAATGAGACAAAGAACTTTTGGATTTACTTCAAGAAGCACCCGAGGAAAAGTATGCTTTGCTTCTGTGGAAAATCTCTGTTCGAGATCCTCAGAAACTGAGGCAAGGACCCCTGCAGACCTTGTGTGAAGAGTCTGGGGAGTTGGTGCTTTCAGGCAGCAGGTAGCCCCAAGCAGCTGCCCTGTAACAGTCCTCCATGTGGGTAAAGCCCTTAGCAGAGAGAGGAAATTTCACTTTAGGCAAATAATTCTTCAGTTGGGATTAACTTTTATGGACTTTGAATGGCTGTTTTCTATAAATCAGAGGAATTTAAAAGGTTATAAAAATAATGAAGCCCTCTAACAAGTATTGTAGCAAACATCTGTCGGCAGTTTGGTTTTAAATGATATACAGTTAAAATTCCTACAGATCTCCCTTCCTTGGGTCAAGATCTACTGCATTGAAGTTCTCTTATCTTTCAGATGCCAAGTTGTTTCTGCCTATTTTTTCTTTCATATTTAATCAAAGAATTCACCATAATATGCTTTATGTTTTCTTCATTTCACATGATAGACATAGAATTGTAGTACCTAAAGCAGAGCAGAATAGCTTGAACTATTGTATGTCATGGTTCAATAACATAATGAAATCTGCACCCTTTCTAATTAAGAAGCAAATGTATGTTAGCTTTGGAAGTAAATGTAAGAAATTAACTATATTTTCTTCTCATTATTTTAAAGAGATCAGTGCTGAACGTTCTGTTATCAATTAAATGACAAATATATCTTAATGCCAATTTTCCATATTTAAAGAAAGAAACACATCAAAGAAGTTCCTTTTTATCCCAAATCCACAAATATTTCTGGCTATGCACACACTTGAAGATTCTACCCTTGCATTATCCATAGCAGATGCTCACAGCTGCATACACCATAAATAAAGTCACAAAGTGAGACAATGTATGTGTTTCTTAGGTGTTTACAGCATGGACCATTGCTTCTCCTAGATATTAACTGCATTGGGTCAGAGAAGTTGGTCTGTGGTCCAAGATGAAACAAAGTAAGATGAAGTCCAACAAAGATTATCCACACTGTGCATACCAGGCTATTGCAGGAGTCTGGCCAGAGTAGGAATATGTACATATATGTGAACATTTTGTTACTGCAGTGCAGTCTAGACACTGCTGTAATGAACAACATAATGAGGCTTCCTTAGACAAGCAGATAATAAAGTGTCTGCCTACAGACTGCCTATTTTTGTGCTAGGGACAGAACCTGTTAATTGGTCCTGTCACAGAGTGGGTAAACCATTTTTCACACCTCAGTGTAAC